AATCTGACTCAGCCAAACTGCCCGCAAACGCTGCGGCCGCGGCTGCAATCTGCCTGTTCCTGCCGCCGGTGCCAAGCCCCGGCCAAAGATGCAGCGCCAGAACCGCGAGGTTGCCTGAGGGCAGGTGTCGCACCATTGCCGCGAAGCCTTTGAAGGGGTCAGCGGCGCGATTAGCCAGCAAATGCCGGCGCGCACTCTGGAACGACGTAGCAGCTACATGCTTCCTGGCCATCGCAACCTAGCCGCCTGAGGATCCTCCTCGGCCCGTTGCAACGCCCCCCGTGGCTCAAAAAGTCCAACCGCCCTTGTCGAATTCCTGCTCAACCTTGGAGCGGAAGACTTCGAACTGGATGCGCGTCTTAATGCAACGCAGCAAGCGCGCCGAAGGGAACCCGAGCCAGAAGCCGATCAGCTTGGTCCCCACCCAGTGATGTTGCCATGGGGAATCGACATCGCGACATCTTCTGTGGGTGCACGCCGGGGGGCCTGAGTCTCAGTGACAGGAGACTTCCTTGCTGTGGGGGCTGCAGGAATATTTCCTATACTGCCAGGAATGCGATCCATAACCGCCATGCCCCCAGCTTCCTCGCCAATGTCGTCGAAGGGGTCGAGCTCGAGATGCATCGTGGTGACACCTTGATGAGAGCAGTGCGCAGGTGTTGCGTCCCTTGGTGGCTGGATTGCGGCGGCGCTCGAGGAGCACGCTGCCGCCGATCTTAACTGCGACTCTCCCAGTGTCTCCGTACGTGCCAAGCGATCTGACGCCTGCGGCGACGTGAACCTGCACTTTCCAAGGGTACAGGATTTGAGAGTCGAGCCGCGCCCATAAGCGGCGACGCAGCAGGAGCGCTCGAGGAGCGCGCTCCTGCAGGTTCACAGCGTTTCCGATGGGACAGAAAAGCGCTCTAACGCCTCCGCGGCGAGGCGAACCTGCTCGGTTACCTCGACAGGCTTCGAAAGCATAGGATAACGGAGCCGCCCAGAGGGTCGCACGTCTCTGGCCATTGGCTCGACGGCGGCATGGCGAGCTGAAGGCCGCCCTGTGAAATGCGCTTTCCAGGCCACTGGCCATTGCATGGCGTTAGCTGGCACCTCGCGGGGTGGGGGAGCGCGAAGCCGCCCAGAGGCATGCACTTCTCTGGCCACTGACTCCGCGAACGATCAGCCTGAACTTGGTAAGGGGGCCGCGTCCATGGTTGAAAACGTAGCAGGTGCGCTCGGGGGGCGCGCACCTGTTGGTTCTGACAGTATTTCCGAGGAGGCTGACGTGCGATCTAACGCCCCCGCGGCGACGCGAAATTGCTCGGATATCCCGGCAGGGCTTAAATGCAGAACGCCAGCTGGTGCCAACGGCGACGACGCCGCAACCTCGCAGTGATCATTCGGAATCGAGGGGGGCGCTCGGCCCCCGAGAACTCTGCGCGCAACTCATCCTGCACGCGCCGTAAGGCGCGCCAGTGGCTCACGACTGCTGCTGCCAAAGCGTAGGGATCATCGCCAAGATCAGCCAACACTCCATGATGCTAAAAGATGCCATCCCTCTGTGGTCGGCCCTTGCATAGATCAACGGCCAGCTCTGAGATGGGGCGGCCATCGCTGATCATTCGAAGTATTGCGCGGTGCGAACTGAACTGCAGGACCCCTGAAACATAGGCAACGCACCAGTCCATGCAGGATTGCTCGCCGCCATCAACCCTGGTGGGGTCAGGAATCCACCTGGCTGCCCATCCTTTCAAGGAAACGTGTCTCCGCCGTCTCACAGGGCAACTCGAACGGGGGCTCGCACATCCCAGTAGGAGGAACATAAGCAATACCTGCCAGCAACGGCCAACCACAATGTGACAATACAACCTTCCACGGCCAGAATGCTGCACGCGATCCTTGCACTTGAGGGGGCGAACAAGCATGATCGTCGATGCTGAAAACCTTTGGGGCACATTTATCGGAGGCTGCCCCGAACTCCCTGGTGTATCCCATGGGGGTCTCAGGGCTCAAAGCCTGCCCACTGCACACACTGCTCGACGAAGTTGGCGCACGTGTGCGCCTCCCCGAAGAATGCGCATTTCGGGCCACAGGCGCTGAAGGCGTGATACGCCTTGCGAAGACTGAGCGGAGCCGCCCAGAGAAATGCGCATCTCTGGCCACTGGCTCCGCTGCCGGGTATGTTGAAAGCCGCCCAGAGGAATGCACATCCCAGGCCACTGGCTTTGATAAACCACCTGCAGACACCTCTAAGGTTGAAGGAGAGCAGAGCCGCCCAGAGGCATGCACATCTCGGGCCATTGGCTCCGCAATGCAGAGCAGCAACGAAGCGGCCTTGGGGGATGCACTTCCCAGGCCACTGGCTTCGGTAGGAGACTGCCATCAGACTCCAGCTCCTCCGCTGGGGTCAGAGAGTATGCCTCGTAATGCGGCCATGTAGCGCCTCCGAATAAAAGGCTGGGCAAGACTACCCACACTGCTCCTCCTTGGTTGGTGCAAGGGAATCAGCGCCTGCATCCGTAGCGGCAGCAGCAGCTGCAGCCGCATCTCGCTTCTTCTGGGCACGAACATTGTTGGTTTGCCGCGAAGCCTCTGGTTCGGTGCCGTTGCCGTCGCTGCCAGCAGAGCCTGAGGCAGAAGTCGAGCCACCACCGCCGAGATCAGCATCATGTTCAGGACCTGCAGGCTTGAAGACACCACCCTCTGAAGGGGCAGCTTCGGCAGCAGGGGCCGCCCGGGCGCCGTCTTCACCGGTGTCGCCTCGGCGCCGCTTGGCCTTGAGCCGCTGGTGCACGGCGGCGGCCTCGACCCTGAGGGTGGCGATCTGCTGGCACGTGGCACCCAACGTTGTGGGCACAGTTTTCTGAACCTCCGTGGCCAGGCTGCTCTTGACTCTCTCCCAATCTGCGCGCTCCTTGTCGGAGAGTTCGAGCCCACTGATGTCGAAAACGGGGCCCTCGATCAGTCGATCCTGAGTTTTGCGGGCGGCAGCGCCCTTGGCGTGGGCCTCCGCCTCCAAAAAGGAGCGGTTTCACTGGCTTCGCGGGTGCAGACGGCGCAGCCTTAGCCGCCAATGTCTCGTCCAGGGATTCGAGGAGGCCAACATGATCTGCGCTCTCGCCTAGCTTCGAGCGCAGGAGAGCCGAAACATTTGGTTCAGGCGGTGGGTGGGCGACCCAACTTTTCTGCGGTACGTTGGAGTAGACGTAACCCGTCCAATGCGGAGCCCCCGACGTCTTGGGCGGTGGTGGGGGCCTTGGTCCTTTCTTCTTGCCCTTGCCCCCTTTGCCGCCAGCCATGCCTTTGCCCTTGCCGCCGAAGAACGTCCCGCTGGAGGCCGCCCCATCTGCATCTGACGGATGGCCTTGCTCCCTGAACGGAGAGTCTTAAACCGCCAAGGATGGGGGGCCGAACAGCCACTTGCTTTTGGGCTTGCGCTCCAGGACAGGGAACTCGACCAGCGGAGCGGCGCACTAGTAGCACAAAACGTTGTTCTTGAAATTCAACTTGTACCTCCAGGAAGAGCACGACTTGTACTGCACCTGTTTCTTTTTTCCCTCATGTTCTTGCCAAGACATGAGAAGAGAGCGCATATGAATGCTCGGAGAAGCTCACAAGGCTCGCACCGACAGGGCGGCTCGTGCGAGCGGTCGCTGAAAGTGTGCTCCAGGAGCTGATTGCACAGGGGCCTTGAGCCGCCCCAACGGCAATGTCCAAGTTCCAAGCGCGGGAGCGATGTTTGGAACTTGTGCCAAAATGGCTACGGAGGATGAGGACGAGGAGGAGGCAGTGAGAATCATGAGGAGGGTGCACGGCAGAACGGGAGGGAAGGGAGGCAAGGTTGGAGGACACCTCATGTGGCACGTGAGGTATTCATTATATCTCCTTCAGCTTACACGTTGCTGTGCCCGATTCCGGACCCTCTGGATCTCCCTCGAGCCATGTGTAGAGTTCTGGTATTTGGGAGTTTGTCATCGTACCCTTCGTCGTGTGTGAGATGCGTTGGTGAACCATTTCAGGGTGGCGTTGGCATGAACCGAGGTTGCATGTGCGAGTACGAGCGCCAGAGGTTGGCGTGTTGGCATCTTGGCGTGTGCCTCCCCGCGCTCGCTGGGGGGCACCGCGAGACACGGGACCTCACTCGGGGCTCGGGCGCATGCTCGGCTTGGGGGGAGAAGGTCGTGTTGAATGGAAGTTGCCCCGACACAGCAGGGATCGAGATCCGAGTCTGATATCAATCGTTGTGTACAGGGTGTCTAGAGCTGCGACCGTTTCATTCCGGCACGCACGCCACCCGCACCGCGTTCCCCCCCCCCACCCACCCACCCCCAGCCAGCTCCAGCGCCTCCTCGCCCACCAGCGAGCGCGCCCTCTCTGCCCCGACCACTTTATTCAAGAGGCTTACGCCATTCCGCCGACCCCCAGAAGAGGGATGAAGTCCACGGGAGAGTCCTTTGGGGGCCTTTGGGGGCCCTCTGGGGGCTTCTTTTGGGCATCTCAGGGGCCTCCTCGGGCCTCTTGAGAATTATTTGGGCGCCTGCTGGCGGTCTCGGAGGTCCTCTTGGGGTGGAGGGCTACGGTCCCGGAGAGTTGTCAGGGGCTTCTAGAGGCTGAACATGGCATACAAATTCCCATCGGGTTTCTTTTCACGATGTGGGTCTGCGGTTTCTCCCCCCAGTCCACCCTTCCCTTCCTCCCGTCCTCCCTCCCTCGTCGTCCTTCCCTCCCTCCCACCACCCTTTTCCTCAGGATGCCCATCTTGGGAGGTTTAATGGAATTCAGCATCGGCGCTGGCATATTTGTAATGAGTCGGCAACCAGCCTAATCTGAGAAATCCCGTTGAGTTCCGCTGGATCCCGCCGAGGGCTGACTCTGGCTCGATCCAGATTTGGTTCAACGGTCTTTTAGCAGGGCTTAATAACCCTTAGCCTTTCTTGCGAAGACCTCCCAAGAGTTGTCTGCTAACCCCATCCCTCCCTCTCGTTTCTTCCTTCCACCCTCTCCCTTCCCCGCGCCAGCGTGCAGCGCGCGCTGCACTTCAACCACGCTGGGGCCTCGCCGCCGCCGGAGACCTTCCCGATCGCGCGCGCCGCGGATCGGAGGATAATGTCGACGACGAGGACGCCGACGAGGACGAAGAGCGGGAGGAGGAAACGCTCGAATGACCAGGGGTCGGTTTCAAAAAACAAGAGACAGCCTGCTCGTTAGCGAGAGGCCAGGTCAACTGTGGGGCATCCCTTGAGGGTTAGACTAAACCCTTGGTGGACTGGTCTAAAATTGGTTCCCGACGTGGTGTGCGGCTGGCACTCCTTCAATAGACTCTGACATTCTGGAGCTGCCTGGCATCGGGAACGGCCCTGTACCAAGGCTGGGGAGCGGGAGGAGGAGGAGGAGGAGGAGGAGGAGGAGGAGGAGGAGGAGGAGGAGAAGGGGGAGCAGGGGGAGGAGGAGGAGGAGGAGGAGGAGGAGGAGGAGGAGGAGGATTGTTCTTGTTCCCTCCCTCCTCCCTCCTTCCTCCTTCCCTGCCGTTTTTTTGTTGGCAGGTGCGTCCTGTCGCTGGAACCCGAGCCGGCTGTCGCCAACCGCCTGGGTGTCGAGGAAACCTCCTTGATGGACGCACCCCTGAGGATGTGACTTGGACTGCCGGCCGACACGCCTGGCCCCAGTGGACTCCAGACCTACAATGGAGCTGGTGCCGTGGCCGCAAATTCAGCAGGGGGACAAAGAGAGTGGAGGGTGGAGGGATAAGGAGTAGGTGGGTCGAAGGAAGGACAGAACGGGTCCCGATGCCATTGCTCGTCCTGGAGAGCCCTCGTCGCCACGGCTGGATTATCTTCGAACTGTTGGTCAGAACGCTCCCATGGAGAAGTGTCCTGTTTGTCCCCCCGCTCGAGGAGGAGGAGAGGGCGGAGGGATGAGAGATGGCACGCGAACGGCGTCCTGTTCCGCAGAGGCACGGCACGTCGAAGTGCACATTCGCACGTCTTGTGGGGTGCAGTCCTATTCATTAGGTATGGCTGGCCGTCATGTGCAAGACCCATCTCGTCACGTTCGGCCGATGCCAAGCTGATGTTGTTTATTATGGAAGCACTTGCATCCAGTGCCTGCGTGCACTGGATCGTTTTCGTACACCACGGCGCCTGCGCATATCACAGCAGCCGCGTGTCACATAGCTTGGCCGTACACAATAATGCCTGGGACCACATTTGACAACAGAAGTGTGATCAGGCAGGTCGCCATGGCCTGGTATCGCCTCCCTGACCCTCCCCTCCTCCCATCTCCCTCCCCCCTTCTTCTGTCCTTGCGTGAAAAATTCTGCAATCTAGTGAAGAAGACCAGGGCGACGAGCGGATGAACGCTACAACGACGACAATGACGACGACAATGCCTGTGCACCGTCGGGGGCCTCTGGCCAGTCGAAAGTCTCCATCCAGTCTAAAGAGTGTGAGGGGGAGGATGGCGACGAGAGCGGTCGCAGCGCGCGTGGAGTGGGCAGGGCGGTGCGAGGAGCCGGTCCTCGAGCGCGTCGTCGCCCACCTGAGGCGGCACGCCTTCCTGTGCGGGCAGGGAGTCAGGGGGAAAGCTTTTCGTTCTACTTATTGTTAAATGTACATACGTATACGTGTGTATATAGATATATGCATGTATGTATGTGTACGTGTACGTGTACGTGTACGTGTACGTGTACGTGTATGTGTATGTGTCTGTGTCTGTGTCTGTGTCTGTGTCTGTGTCTGTGTATGTGTATGTGTATGTGTGCGTATGTATGTATGTGTGTATATGTACACATAAACAGGGAGGCTGGGCGAATGGGCGGTCAGGAGGCATATCCTGGGAGGTCTTCGCAACAACGATGAAGGACAGGAGCCGGCTGTGCGTCTGAGGTGGCCCCCAGAACGGTCTTTGGCCAGCAGGAACCAGCCACGCGCAGAGGGGGGTAGGGGGAGGGGGGGGGGCTTCTTAGAAGCACCCCTGCTTTAACAGGCCTCCCCCCCTCCCCCTGCCACATTGTGCGCGCCGCCAACTAGCACTGGTTCTGGCCAGCAGGAAGGACGGGCAGGCCCGTGGTTCTGGATTCGGAAAGGTTTTTGCTTGTTTCGGTTTTTTGGGGCCGTTGTCGGGCCAGGGAATCCAAGGGCTCCCACGAGGGCGCGAAGTTATTCGCGCTTCGCGGTCCTCGTTCCTTCTCCCCCTCCTCCTCGTCTTCCTTTTATCCCTTTGGTGGGGCGGCGCGAGAGCGCGATTCGGATGCAACCCTTGGGAGGTTGAATTCAGCATCTGCGCTGGAATAGCCGTGGCCGAGAACCTGCAACTTCCGGCACAATCTTATTACATACGGCTAATCATGTGTCAGTTTGGTCTTATATTGGTCTTACTCCTGGATTTGGGCAAATTCGGCTTGATGGCCCTTGTCATTTCTTCGTTCGTAAGATATTCACGGAGGTGCTTCCTAAATTAAGCCTAGTGAGACGGCCATTGAGCCAGATTAGCCCAGATGGGGCCCAGGACTAAGCCAGA